CCTCAAAGAGATCCTATTTTCAGGAGAGAAATGAGATATTCACATGTGAAAGGGGAGGGGAGGGGAAGAGCACACTTTGGGTGGTCGATGTCAGTTTTGTGGGAAGGGATGGGATTCAGGTTGGATGCAGAAGGATGTAGATGTGTTAGGAGCAGGGACAAAGGTCTTGCAGGCATTGGGCATGGCATGAACAAATGCAGAGGTGGGAAGGAACAAGGCGCATGCGGAAAGGGAAGGAACAAGTGTAAATGGAGTTAATGGGCTTAAATGCCATCTCCACGTACATGAATGTCAAATCGATATCCTATAGCCCAGACTTTAGACTTAGATATCCATCTTCACTCCGATGTCTAGGAGACATCGAAAACTCCTCACGTCCAAACCCGAATTCTATTCTCCTCTCCACATTTGCTTTATCTGGAAACCTCCCTGTTCTCAGTTGGTGGCATTTCTACCCTTCTAGGTGCTCGGTCACAAAGCTATAGGCATCATCCTGGGTTTTCTCTTTTTGTCCCGCTTCGCAAACTATTCTTTAGGAATTTGTGATGGGGCTATCAACAAAATAGATCCAGAAGCTGCTGACTCTCCTCCCCATCCACTGTTAGTTTCGGGTCTCGATCTCGGGTCATCTGTCATGTAGATTACTGCAACAGTCTTCAGCCCCCTTCAGTCTAGACCCAGTCTATGGTCAGCCCAGCAGCCAGACAGGAAAGCACAACTGTGTCACTTTTCCTCTCAGAACAATACAATGGCTCCCCATTTCGCTCAGGGTAAAAGCCAGAGTTTGACCCTAGGATGATCTGTGATCCTGCCAAGCTCACCTCCTAACAATCTTCCCTCACTCACGGTACTCCTGCCAGTCTCTGAAATGCACCAAGCACACCGCTTCTGCCTTCGGACCTTTGCACTGGCCGTCCACTCCATCTGGATTATTCTGCCCCCAGTTATACACAGGGCTACGTGCCCTTGCCCCCTTCCTGTCTTGGCTCAAATGTCAAACATATTTAAAGTTGCATCTTTCCCATAATACATTCCTAATTCCCCTCACCCCATTTTACTTTTTCTTTCTACGTAGCACTTGTTACTTTATAATGACCTATATCATTTCCTTATTAAGTTTTATTGCTTGCTGTCTGTCTGCTCCTTGCTAGAATGTAAGCTCTATGGGGGTGGGAATATTTGCTTGTTTTCACTCACTGAAACATCTCAAGTGCCAATGCTTAGAATGGGACCTGGTGTATAGTAGGCTCTTGTAATTATTTGTTGAAAGCATCCTTTTGTTGGGGGGGGGGTTTGAGATTAATGCACATGCTGAAGATTGAAAACCAGAGGGTAAAAGTTATGATTTTTTAACTAAACATTTTGAAGAGGAGAGTACTGTGTCTTTGTCATTTTGTGGGAAGGTTTAAAATACCGTTTCGGAAGATTAATCTGAGGCTGGAGTTCTAGGAAGGGTTGGGGATGAGGAAGTGGGGAGGATGGGAAAAGTAAAACAGAGGCTAACCAGAAACAGTGGAAATGACAAGGAAAGCACAGATTTAAGAGAACTTTCAAAAGAAAACACACATACACGTACACATACATACACACATGCATACACACAATAAAAATGACCTCCAGGATTAAGAAAAAAAGTCAATACAGGGAAGAGAGTCAGTTTTCATGGGGAAATAATAGTTCGGTTTCGAACGTGTTGGCTTTGAGATTGTGGGGGGCGTTATCAGACTCAAATATCCTACAGACAAGATAGGGGCTCTGACCAGCACTTCTAAGAAACTCCTTTTAAACTACTGTAAATAGAATTATAAAAATAAAGTTCTCTAAGGAAGACTTTGTGGCAATAGAAAGTTAGACATCCTAGCAGGGAGCCTTCGAAGCCGCTACAGTTCTGATGCCCAGGGGAAGGCAGGGGACTGGGAAGGTGGGAGCGGGGACAAGAGGTCAGAAATGGAGGTATGTAATGTATCAGAGTGTTAGCATCAGGGAAGTGCAGAAAGACAGCATAGAAAAAGAAATTATTGGTGTTGTCAAGAATCCAGCACCTTGTACATGCTTGATAAATACTTGTGGAGTAAATAAAATGACTTACAGGAAAATGAAGGCACAGAAAGACTATAGGGTTTGGAAAGGTGGAGATACTCAGAATGTGGGACACAGCATTTTCATAAGAGGGGTGGATGAAATCCTTTCTCTAGGGCTTCACAGGGGTGTGGGCGGTAGAGAGACGGGGACACAGGGACATCAGTGTCTTGCTCTGAAGCAGAGCTACGAAGCTACAAGAAAAGCAAGTACTTACATTTGATACAGCATGAAAAAATGAATTACAAGCACGTTTTAATTAAGCAATGGAGCCTGGTACAATTTCTTTAAACTATCACCCAGAGTATTCTTTATGCTTTGAGAAATCTGAAAGTTCTTTAACCTGTCCTGTCCTCCCTTTATAGAGAGGAGTTAAAAATTCTACCAGTATTCCTTTCCCCAAACATTTCTTTCCGCCTGTGCATTGTGTCTATTTGAAGAACCCACACCTGCATAAACCAGGAGCTGCTTAAGAGTTTTTATTCAAATACTCTAGATACAAACTTGCATTCTGATCAGTTGTTGAGAAAACAAAGACCTGTGTTTCCGGAGAGAAAGCACAAGCAAATTTATTAAGAAGAATCAACTTATCCTTTAGAACTTGGGAAAAAATTTTGTACTGCCGTATTGTGACTATGTACACTCAGAAAACTATCTCATTCACATCCTCTCCTTTCCACTATTTATTTTGGTAAAGAATTTAGCCCATAGTAGGGACGCCTGGGTGGCTCAGTTGGTTAAGCAGCTGCCTTCGGCTCAGGTCATGATCCCAGCGTCCTGGGATCGAGTCCCACATTGGGCTCCTTGCTCGTCAGGGAGCCTGCTTCTCCCTCTGCCTCTGCCTGCCATTCTGTCTGCCTGTGCTCGCTCTCTCTCCCTCTCTCTCTCTGACAAATAAATAAATAAAATCTAAAAAAAAAAAAAGAATTTAGCCCATAGTATGCTTAAGAGTCTGTTGCTCTATTGCTTTTGAAAATTAAATATTTTCTCCATCACAGCAAACCCATATCTTCTGAAATAGAATATTTTTTTAAAGATTTTATTTATTTATTTGACAGACAGAGATCACAAGTAGGCAGAGAGGCAGGCAGAGAGAGAGAGGAAGGGAAGCAGGCTCCCTGCTGAGCAGAGAGCCCAGCGTGGGGCTTGATCCCAGGACCCTGAGATCATGACCTGAGCCGAAGGCAGAGGCTTTTAACCCACTGAGCCACCCAGGTGCCCCTGAAATAGAATATTTAAAATGTGGGCGATTCATCAACTGTTTCTAGTTATTAAATTCAAATACACTTCCTTGCATTTCCTAAGAGGGTGCTTGCTATCTATGGTAAGGGAATGGAGAGAGCTTGAAACAAAAAGAGAAAAGAACCGAAAACTCTCCCACAACTTTAGGAAAGAGCAATTCATGTTTTGAGTCGCATCATTTGACAATGGAAAAAGTAAGATAATAGGTGATGTCTCTCTGAATTGTAGTCCCTCATGGTATGGATTCACACATTCCCACTCAAGACAGATTAGAATAAAATCCTGAATGACAGATTATTGATGGACAGTGTTCATGTTTGTTCCATGTCTTGGCCTGTCAGGGAAGGGCCAAGAATGGAGTCCCAGATGGTCAGATGTCAATACGGTGTGTTGGCTTACCCTCCTCTCGCCCAAGTGCCCCTCTCTGCCCTGCTGACCAGCTCAGCCTGCCTTGCTAGGGATGAGAAGGGAGGCAGGTGCCCCCATAGGAATACAAAGTGCTCGATCTGCACCTGCTAGAGGCTTGGTGTTTGTGGTTCCACTTCTGACATGTGGGGTAGATGTCCTACTAGTTTCAGTATGGGAAACCTCCAGGAGAATACCAGGAAAGGCAAGTTCTGCGATTAACAATAAAATGTGCAAATATTAATTACTAAGCAGAAAATAATATATACTATTTATGAAAGTTTCAACTGGGAAGATTAAACTTTTTAAAGTGAGGTCAAGTTAGTTAAGTGTGTTAGGATTCTGTGGGGGTTTCGTTGGCTCGCCGCAGGCACCCACAACCCCCTCCCCAGGGCTACCCTCCCCCCACCTGAAGTCTCGCACCTGGATCCAAAACTTAGCACTTCGGTCATTTACCCACTCCTGGCCGCAGTGCAGAGATGCTCTTATGTGATGGCTCTATCATCTTATTTTTCGAGATCAGACTTTGAAGAGCTGGGGCATTTTTAAAGATACTAATTTTTCTTTCAAGTTCCTTTACAAGGCATTTTTGAAATATTCAGTCGTTATTTATTCACACTGAAAATTATCATTTTCTTTATCTCAAATTTGTTCCTGAAGGGGTGGGTTTTACTCTATGTTCACACGAAAACCTGTATCCTCAAAGTGAACAAACTGGAAAAGATCTATAGACATGAAATTCTATGAATTTCGTGAAATGACAGCCAAAGCTCTTCCTTATCCCATGCACGTGGGAAGTCCTTCATTCGTAAACTAAGAACCTAAAACAAGATGCATGAATTAAAGGTATTTCAGGTTCTACATTTATATATATTCGTCTCCTGCAATTCCCTTATAATTGAGAGCTTTCCAGAAGTTCCATTTCACACAACATTTCACCATCATGGAAAGGAATGTTGCAATACCCAAGTTTCTGTTTTATAAAAATAGCATTCTGTAAAATTGATCTTTCAAAATAAGTACCTGCCTAAACTCTAGGCAGCAAAGATAAACCCAACAATTAGTAATTCAAAGCGACTAGAATTATGAAAATGTTACCAAGAGTTCTAAATTGTCAGTCTCTGGTCTGTGTTTTTATAGTTCTGCATGTTCTAGCCAGATTTTAGGGGTATTTGTTCTTGTTCTTTGCTTCACGTTATGACTTCGAGATGTCAAAAATAAACATTAGGACTATGAAATTTTTTTAAACATTGTAATAATTGACATTGACTCACCACTTTCCATTCTGGATGGTTCTGGTGAATTTCCTTCTTAGCGGTGATGTTGTATGTGAATGTCGTGTTCTCCTTGATAAGGGATCCTGGTCTCTGGTCAGGTAAGCCTGATCCTGATGGGAAAGGCTTCTGTACATGGTTATGATGCTTCTGCAATGACTTGCTTTAGATTTGATTACATGCAAATCCTCTGGTGTCTGTTTCTCTACAATTTGCATCCCCGATGTAGATTATATATAAGGTACTTTTTTCCTCTCCAAGATTTTTATTTAGTAACAATGAGTTTCCATTAGGAACAGACTCTCTTAAAAGTTTATTATGGAAACAAGGAATCCATTATTTGTTTTGTGAATAGCAGTGGCATTTTCTATTTCTTTAATTTAGAGCTAGGTTTAAAAAAAAAAATAGTGCATATGAGAAAGCTCTTACGTCCTGGTAGGAAATATAGGTTCTATGCCTGTAATTCGCAGATCGTGGGTATATAATTTTTAAAAGCTATGCATCTCTCAGATAGAGAAAGAATTCTAGGAAGAAAAAAATGAAAATGAATACCAAATGAATACATTGTAATACAATTGGATAACCTTCTTGTTATATATAAAACATAAACTTATGATCTAAACCAGAGGCCCCTAAACCCGGAAGTACCTCAGAATTAGCAGTGGATGTGGTAAAAATACCTATGCCCAGCCCCAGCCAATTCTAATTCAGAAGTTTCTGAGATACTGGGACACCTGGGTGGCTTAGTCAGCTGAGCATCTGACTCTTGGTTTGGCTCAGGTCATGATCTCAGGGTCATGGGATTGAGCCCCACGTAAGGCTCCCTGCCCAGCATGAGATTCTCCCTCTCAAGATGAAATCAGAAAGGGAGACAAACGATAAGAAAGTTTTAACTATAGGAAAGAAACTGAAGATCGATGGAGGGGAGGTAGGTGGGGAGATGGGGGTCACTGGGTGATGGGTGTTAAGGAGGACACTTGATGGAATGAGCTCTGGGTGTTACATGCGACCGATGAATCACCAAATTCTACCTCAGAAACTAATAATCCATGATATGTTAATTAAATTGATTTCAAATAAAAAAAGATTCTCCCTTTCCCCTCTCACTCTATTCCTCCCCCTCTAAAAATAAAAAAAAACTCTTATTAATCTTTTTAAAAAACAGTCTTTTTGAGGAATATTCAGTGTCATGAACTCCTTTAGAGTAAAACAAAACAAAACAAAACAAAAACAAAGCAAAAACAAAAACCCCAAACAACCAAATTTTAGGTACTTTCTGACATTTCCCTTATTCATCTTCAAGGACCTAGAATTGCTGCTTAACCTAACTTTGGTTCTGTCTCCCAGAGTCTTGAACAGTTATTCACTCTGGATTGGTCTGGGACTTGGAATTTCAGGGCTTGAAATCGCGATTGCCTGGTGGTTCTCCGCTCTGGCTCTGCCTCACAGGCTCTTACCCCGTTTCAGATCAGTGGGATCTGGAGGTCCCCAGCGGTCCAGGGCACTGACTCAGGAGGTCTGTGAAGTGTAAACCAATTTCAGAAACTAATAACTTTTTTGCCTTTTACTCTCTCATTCTCTCATGAATGTACGGAAGAGTTTTCTAGAGGAGAGGTGACTTGGGATATATGAATGGAGGAGCAGATGTGAGAGTCTAGTTGTTTTCTGTGAAGCCAGACTTTCAGGAGGGATTTGCCAAATCATAAAATAATCCCACTCTTCTCAATAAATTGGTCTGTTGGTTTGAGAAGCATAGTTATTTTTAATTAAAAATTTTTTTAACATCAACATGTAATGGTTCATTATTGTTATTTTAAATGAATAATAAATATCTTTTCTTAATGTTTAGTTTAAATTTCCAATATAAGATATATATATATGTGGATATAAGTCATATTTTAAAAAAGCAGGGTCTTCAATTATTTGTAAGAGAGTAAAGGAGTTCCGAGACCACATGGTTTGAGACCACATCCTTTGGAAGAGCACCTGTAGTATAAATGAGTTTCTAGAGTGTTCTAATACAGATATATAAACTTTGTATCTGCGCTTCTCTTATGGACAGAATACGCCTCTCGGGGTCTCTGTATTTCTAAAACAAAACCAAAAGGACAAAATCTGTCTCAATTCCCCAGTGTCTAGCACCTGTTTCCTTTACTCCTTTAAGTGAACGAGATGAGGAAGAGCCATTGCCACACGATCCTACAGCCCCGCGATTTGCATTCTTTTCCAGGCAGGGGTCACCCCAACTCATTCTTTCTTACTCCTCTAACCGAATAGCTCCATAGTAACATAGTAAAATAAAGTAAACACTTTTAAGTGAACTCTACTATTTCTGCAATGAATTCCCCAAGCATGTTGATTCTTGTCAACATTGCACTGGAAGCTTTTCAACCTTTCGAGTAGGATGGAACCATTTTCAAACACGGCTACGACATGCATTGCTGATAGAGCCCAACCTTCTCAGCACAGCATTTGAGGCTCCCTAGGAGTCGGGTCCAGCCTACCTTTTGTTGTATCTATCACGTCTGCATTCCTCACAGTCTCTACCCCAGCGCTCCGTGGGGATCTTGGGCCACTTGCCTCAGAATCACCTGCAACGCTTAGAAAACGTAGTCTCTCCTAGATTTGCTGAGTTGGAATATCTGATGATCATGCCGGGCCATCTTCATGCTAAGCGAGCTCCCTGCCCCCATGCGATTCTTCATAAATACTGAAGGTTGGGGGCCCCTGCTCTCACTTTAATGGTTGGTGTTCAAATAAGTCATCGGCGTTTCCATTTGTCTACCTTGGCTCATGGTGTTCTCTCAAATCCAAGCACCCTTCCCTCACTTTGTGTGATTGAAATTCTACAAACTTTTCAAGATTCAACACCAAGGCTACCTTTGCCAAGATGGATTTAACGGCTCATTTCATGGTGCTTCTCACTTGAATCTCTCTAGTGGCACTAGTTTCATGCTGCTTTCCATGCTGGTCGGTGGCTTGCATATTCCTCCTTCATCCCCGACCAGGCCGTCTTTCTCTTCTTCTCCATATCCCCACGGCACTCAGCTGTGTAGAAGGTGAGTGGTTGCAAGGGTAGGTCGCCGCTATGGTAGGTCGCGGCCACGCAGAACCCGGCTGTAAAATCCATCAGAAACAACAGTTTCTGGGGACAAGCAGCAAGACAAAAACCATAAAGTGTATCAGAGGGGATCCTGTTATTTTGCATGGTAAAGAAATGTCACTACGAGTATACCTCTCTTTTTCCATGAGCTGAACACACCACTGGAGTTTGTAAACATCTCCCTGGAGGGGGTCCTGTACTCATAACTCAACAACATAATGATTTTCTAGAGCAAAGTTCATGTAGAAATGTCCAGAATCCTGCAGTGGCATTTCGGATATTAGATGTCATTGGAAAAGCTAGAATGCTTTCTTTTGCCACAGATACTTGCTTCTGCTTTAAAATACCCTTTATTTCGGACGCTTGCTGTATTTGCATACAACTCCAGTACTGTTTACATAGAATTAAACACACTTTTTAAAAAGTTCCCAGAAAGGTTGTTTTCTTATTCCGAGGAAACAAGTCTTTGCAGATTGGAGTGGATGGTGGTTGCTGGAAGGGTGTGGGTTGGCGATAAGCTTTTTCTGTGTTTGCTTCAGTTGCTGGCGGCTTCAAAAACATGGCACGGACAGAAGCAGGTTGTTGGGTCAAAGTGAGGTCTGATGATGGTCTGGGGTGGCCCGCTAAGGAGGGTGAAACAAGGGTATGTTTTGGTAGAATAAACACGGATCCACATAGCACAGGCACGATTAGTATTTGTCTCCTTTATCTTGTATCGGGAACACCCCTCAGATATTCCAACCACAATGTTTCTGTATCAGTTTTTTATTCACTCCAGGGCTGGGCACCTGCTGTGTGGTTGGGTAGCTCCTGACAACTTGGCAGGGACTTTGCTGATAAATTTGCTATAAGGTAGCTCTGGTGGGTAAGGGTGTATGTGGCAGGTGTGAGGGACCCCGGAGCAGGCATGCCAAAGTGGGGACCAAGGCACCCCCTGTTTCCTTTATTCCAGGACTTCCCTATTTCTCTGGCCTTTCTTTGAGGGATGTTTGAAGGGAGCAGGTGATTCAGTGTTCGAGCTCCATTGACATAATGCATAGGAGCCCAGGGGCCCCTTTATTACAGGGGCCAGGGAGGCTTCTACTGGGAGACAGAGGAGATATGTGCTAGCAATACGCGCCTCTTAAATGGAGAAAAAAAAATGGTACTGTGACATAATGCGAAATATGTATTTGGTCCCCACCCCGGGTTCTAACACAGAGCTCCTCAATCAAACCTTTGTAATTTCCTGAATGACAGGGGTGCTGGGAGCATTTTGCTTTTTTCTAATATTGGTCTTTGACTGCAGTTCCTGGCCTAGAGCTCCTAAATCCCTTGGATTTGCTGGATGACAGGAACATCTTTTGCTCTACTTGAGGTGACACTTGGTGGCCTCCTGCATATTCTCAGGATGGGGACTGGTCACTGGGAAGACCAAGACACGATGAGAACCTTGGAATTTTCAGCTCCACACTCAATCCTCTGGGCAGGGGAGAGGGACTGGAGACTGAGTTAATAACCCGTCTTGCCTACATAATGATGTCTCCATGGAAATCCCTAACTTATGTGGTCCGGGAAGCTGAAGGGCTGGTGAACACATCGAGGTGCCCTGAGGAGGGGACCGCAGAGCGGGCACAAACCCTCTCCACTCCTGGGCTCATGCACCTGTTCCATCTGACCGTTACCCAGGTGCTTCCTTTACAATAAATCAGGAATGGCAAGTACACTGTTTCCCTGGGTTCTGTGACCCCTTCTAGCAAATTAGTAAATCCAAGGGTGGGGTCATGGGAGTTCCTGATAGATAGCCTGCAGCGTCTAGAAGGTCTTTGCATCTATCTGGATAAAGTATCCTATTTCACTGAAGCTAAGCGCCAGTGACTACAAGACACTCCATGATTTTGTGTGTCATTGACACTGTGCACTGTGTGTTCAACCAGTTGCCAGGTCTTGTCAGTCCCGCCTCATTTGTGGGTTCTCTTCAGGCACCTTCTCTGTACCTTTAGCTTGTTCCAGCCTGTTTTCTCCTCCCTGGCTGTTGTATTGGCTTTCTGGGTG